TCATAGGAAAGTATTTTCCAAGATTCTGAACAGACTTCCTCTTATGTCATATTGACTAAGGGAATGAGACTCTTGTAATTGGTCTCCAGTCATTGGGCGGGGGGTGTAGGGGAGAGGAGAGGCACTTTTGAGCCCAAAGCTTTTCATTCTGAACAAAATCTTGGTTCTCTAAGAAAAGAATCAATGGATGAGACCACCAGCCACATCTATCACAAAGGCAATCAGGCCACAAGAACAACAGCAAATCAAAGCATGTAAGCATTGACTGAGTTCTACCTTCAATCTACCATTCTGAGCCTGGGAGGTTAAAAGCCATCATCATTCTATTCCTTAAGACTGTAGGAGAGCTCATCACTGTAGCTAAGGTACCCAGCACGTAATAATAGTCCTCTAGACAGAGGTTCTCATGTTATGTAACTCCCACATGTTAAACACAGAGGGCTGGGACTGCACTCCGTGTAGAGCATGTGCTATCATGTGCAAGGTGCTGGGCCTGATCCCCAGCACCACAACACACACGCCCAGGTCACCATGTACTCCAGCACTGATGCTCTCAGGTACATATCCAGCACTGAAAGTAGGGGCCTGAACCAACGTTTGACGGCAGCATCCACAGCAGGATTACTCACAATAGCCCAAAGGTAGAAACCAGTGTCCATCCATGACCAAAGGTGCTATATACATTAGAATGTTATTGGATGCAAGGGAATGTTAGAGTTTCAAAAGCAATTAAAAGACAGGCTACAAGATGCACAGTACGTCAAAGACTCTGTGCTGAGTGGAATAAGCTGGACACAGAACCCGCCATGGTACAATTCCACCTGACGTACCCAGAGGAGTCGGCCTGAGAGGCAGAAAGTAGCATGGGGGTTTCCAGGAACGGTGAGGAGAATGAAGAGTTAGTTTTCCTTTCATGGGTACAGTTTCAGTTTGGGAAGAAGAAAATGGAGGTAGTAATGCCATGGAACTATGCACTTAAAAATAGGAACTTCCTATACAAGAAAGGTTTATCTACGCCATAGGTATACATGCCGCCCCGCAGTCTACCACTTTGGCATAAGGGTTATTTTAAAGCTAGAGGCCCTTGAAAACCAGCAGGCACAAGAAGGGCATTCTGATCTCTCCTGACCTCTCCTTGTCTCCCTGAAGCTGTTTTTTTTTTGTTTTTTTTTTTTGTACATTTTAGGTATACAATATAATGACACTCATCTTTGGAGATTTGTGCCTTTACATAACATATCTTGATTATTTTTTCCCTATTCCCCTGCCCTCCCTTGAACCTCCCCACTCCTCTATATTTATAAAGATTTTGTTCCCATTTTTTCAATTTTTCATATTAATTCCGTTCCCTTCTTTCCTTTCCCATACCCTTCTCACTTCCCCTTTCCCTTTGCACCTAGAATAGCAAAAGCAATTCTAGGCAACAAAGACAGGGTAGGGGGTATCACAATCCCCAACTTTAAACTATACTACAAAGCTACTGTGATAAAAACAGCATGGTCCTGACAAAGAAACAGACCCAAGGACCAGTAGACAGATTAGAAGATGAACAACTCCAGACACATTCAGCCACCTCATCTTTGACAAAGAAGCCAAACACCCCTACTAGAAGAAAAATAGCCTCTTTAATAAATAGTTCTGGGAAGCTGGACGTGGTGGTGCACGCCTGTAATCCCAGCACTCGAGAGGCTGAGGCAGGAGGATCACTATGATTTCCAGACCAGCCTGGACTACATAGTGAGTTCCAGGTCAGTCTCAACTACATAGTGAGACCCTGTCTCAAAAAACAAAACAAAACGAACAAACAAAAAAATAGTGCTGGAAAAATTGGGTTTCAACTTGCTAAAGATTAAAACTAGACCTTCATCTGTCACCATTCACTAAACTAAAATCAAAATGGATCAAAGATCTAAATATTAAAACAGAAACACTAAATCAAGTGGAAGAGAGGGATCATAGAACTCAAAGACATTGGCATAGGAAAAGATTTAATGTACAGGGCCAGGGATTTAGCCCAGTGGTACTGCTGCCTACAGTACAAGTGAAAGTTTCCGAGTTCAATCACCAATACCAAAAACAAACAAAAAAACAAGAGCAAGATTTCATGAACAAAACCTCAATTGCCCATGAACTAGCACAAACAAGTGGATCTCTTCTCATCAAAAAGCTTCTGCACAAAATAAAAGCAAATTTTAAAATATAAGATCAAAGTTGATTCAAGTTATGGAAAAAGAAAAAAAAAAAAAAGCTTCTGCACAGCAAGAGAAACGAACAGCATGAAGAGGCAACCCACGGGGGGGGAAAAAAACACACACAATTGACTTCAGAAGCTGGCATTGGGAGGTCCTAAGGAGATGCAGGCGAGGTAGCTGCTGCAGTGGCCACCACAGGATAATAGTCCAGGATCTATCATACCTGTTGAATAACTGGAAGACTACACTAAAACAGAGAAAAATGGAGAAAGTATTTGAGTTGTATATAAGGATAGACACAAAACTACAGGTCAAGCAGTATCTATTAAGAAAATCAGACCAGAAAGTGAAGAGGAAGAGGTTCCTAGTACTGCAATTCAGGAAATTCCTCTATTGAAAGAATTTCATCATCCAAATATAGTCACTCTTCAAGATGTGCTTATGCAGGATTGCAGGTTATATCTCATTTTCAAATTCCTTTCCATGGATCTCAAGAAATACATGGATTCTATCCCTGCTGGGAAGTTCATGGATTTATCACTTGTTAAGAGTTATCTATACCAGATCCTTCAGGGTATTATCTTTCGTCACTCTAGAAAAGTTCTTCACAGACTTAAAACCTCAAAATCTATTGATCGATGACAAAGAAACAATTAAATTGGCTGACTTTGACCAGCCAGGGCTTTTGGGATACCTATCAGAGGATATACACATAAGGTAGTGACACTCCGGTAAAGCTCTCCAGAGGTATTGCTGGGGTCAGCTCGTTTCTCTACTCCGGTTGACATTTGGAGTATAGGTACCATTTCTGCAGAACTAGCAACTAAGAAACCATTTTTCTATGGGGATTCAGAAATGAATCAACACTTCAGGATTTTCAGAGCTCTATGCACTCCCAACAATGAAGTATGGCCAGAAGTGAAATCTTTACAGCACTATACGAATACATTTTCCAAGTGGAAACCAGGAAGGCTAGCATCCCATGTCAAAACCTGGATGAAAGGCCAAGGATTTAGCTCAGTGGTTTTACGACCTGCCTTCCAAGTTCGATCCCTGGTTTAAAAAAAAAACAAAAAAACCTTGGATAAAAATGGCTTGTATTTGCTCTCTAAAATGTCAGTCTATGATCCTGCTAAACGAAGTTTTGGCAAAATGACACTGAATCATCCATATTTTGATAATTTGGACAATCAGATTAAGAAGATATAGCTTTATGACAAAGTTCCCATACATTATAATCCAGAATGAATACTTGTATTTTTACTATTGATTCTATTCGTCTTCTATATTTTTCATTGTAAAGTTGAAACTGTACTTCACTTTCTAATTCAAGAGTATAACTTAAAAATGTAAATATTGCTGGGCGTGATAGTGCACGCCTGTAATCCCAGCACTTGGGAGGCTGAGGCAGGAGGATCACTGTGAATTGAGACCAGCCTGGGCTACATAGTGAGTTCCAGGTCAGTGTCAACTACATAGTGAGACTCTGTCTCAAAAAAAAAAAATTAAATATTGTTCTATATAAGTTTATATATACTTCTGTGTGTAGATCTCGCTGTGTGACATTGGTCTCTATAATAAAACTATAAATCTAAAAAATATATATAAAGAACTTAAAAAAAAAGACCAGGTAAATTTAAGATCCAATCCAAAACTGGGCCTCTGAAATGAACAGACATTTCTTAAAGAAGTAGAAATGGCAAATAAACATGAAAAAATGCTCAACATCACTAGTCATTCAAGAGATGCAGATGAAAACAACACTGAGATTCTACCTCACCCTAGAAAGAATGGCTGCTATCAAGAAATCAACCCATGACAAATGTTGGCAGGGCTGTGGGGAGAAAGGAGAACTTCTCCACTGCTGATGGGAGTGAAGACTGGTGCAACCACTGTGGAAATCAATATGGAGAACAACTAGGGCTGGAGGTCTCATTTGACCCAACTAGTCCCCTGCTGGGTATGTTCCCCAAAGAATTAAAAGAATCATACCACAGTGATATACGCGCAGCCGTGTTTATAGCAGCACAGTTTATAATAGGTAAATCTTGGAAACAGTCTAAATGCCCATCAACTGGATACTGGATAAAGAAAATGTGGTTTCAGGGTGGGGGATTTAGCTCAGTGGTTTCACTGCCTGCCTCGAAAGAACGAGGTCCTGAGTTTGATCCCCAGTACCAAAAAATAAAAAAAAGTTAATGTTTTCTTATATAAAATGGAGTACTACTCAGCCACAAAGAATGAGAAATTAGAGACAGCCATAGCTATGTGGATGCACATTGAGGTGATACTCTTCTGTGGTACACATGTAAATAATGAATAGTTTTTCGGGTGTGAGAAACTGAAAGTGCAAATAAGGATCAAAATGTACAATAGATAATGTGAAACAGGAAGAAAAGGTTCAAATTGGCTTCATTTGCAAGGATGATTCAAGATACACAAATCAATAATCCATCACATAAACAGAATGAATGACAGAAAATCTTACAATTATCTAAATACACGTGGGCAATGCATACATACATCCAGGGAAAACCCCGGACAATCAGATGAGAGGAATCTAACTTCAGTATCACAAAGGACACATATGATGGGGAGGGTCTTTTCTGAGACAGAGCCTTCGGCAGGTGGGTGAGAAAACACCAACACCCAGCTTGTGCCCAGTTTGTTAAGTTTTGTGGTTTGGGTTTATTTGGTACTGGGGATGGAATTCAGGACTCTGCGCTTGCCAGGCAGATGCTATGTTGCTGAGCTACATCCCAGGTCATTTGTTAGTTTCTTTTTCTTCCCTTTTTTTTGCTACCGGGGATTAAAAACTCAAGACCTTGACCTTAAGAGGCAGGTGTGGTGCCACTGAGCTACATCCCCAGCTCCATTTGTTAGTTTCTTAAGCCCTGCGCTCACACAAAAGTGCCTTGGTGCCAACAGGCCTGCATGTCTTAGAGCAGTGTCTTGGGTCTGCCTGACACGGAGCACACTTTCTTACCCGCACCGAGCACTCCAGGCTGTCTACATAACAGAGCCAGGATCTCTGCAGAAAGGCAGCAGCCAAAGTCATTTCAGCAAACTCCTGCATTTCACTCTCACCACTTTTAACCCTTTCCCCAACAGAGAACCATTGGCCTAAGGGGAGGAGGGAAACCTAATTCAGCGCAAGTGGTAAAGCCACAGGCCTGTCTTAGCCAGCCTCAGAACCAACACCGAGCTGCCGGATGACTGGGGAAGAGCCCGCACCCTTGTTGAGCTATGGCATGCCAAAACATAACTCCACTTTTGTCTCCAGTCACTGCTGAGACCTCAACGGTCCTGTGATGCTGTGATGCTCAAGGATAAGATTACATCAGCTGAAGACATCCTGGTTCCTTGAGAACCAAGTAGAAAGGTTTCACCTGGGGAGAGACAAATTCCTTATCGCTTAACTCATCCACATGTTTTAAGAGCATCTTTGCTTCCCCCCGCCCCCCACAGGGCAAGTGGCAGAAACCAATGACCTAAATCCCTGGCCCTGCTTTTGTTTTTTGTTGTCTTTTCTGTTTTGTTTTTGCGGTACCAGGGATTGAACTCAGGAATCCCTGGCCTGTCTTTGCTCATCTTACCATCCTAATCAACAAGATCATCAGCATGACATCCTCATGGTCACAGGAATATGGCCCCCCTCCTAGTCATCTGATGCTTTCTCTGATTATAAGATCCTGGTCAATTTAGGGTTATCACCACCCTCTGAGGCATGTTACTCCCTATGAACCCAATAAATAGTGGCAAGCTTGGGGTGTCTTCCTCTGCTGCCCAGAGCAGCACTGATCAGGCCCAAAGCTCAGCTCCTTCTCTAAGTCTCATTTACTGTCTTTAGTCTTTACTTTGCCTCGTGCTGTCATGGCTCACAAGAGAAGAGGACCCACTGCAGGGTTTTGGTAACATACCCTTTCCGTTCCGTAGAGGACGAAGCAGTGTAGGCATGTGAGGCTTCATTGCTGCCAATCATCTGTCCCCAGACCAGTGAATCATGTCAGGGCACACAGCAGCACAGCCCCATGTGCACTCCATGTGAGGATGGCGTTTTCACACAAGGGTCACATGGACCTGTGCAGCAGCTGTGTGAAAAGCCCTCCCTGTCTGTGTGACAAGAGATGAGTCAGAAGGGTGACCGCACACTGGTGGCACTGGCAGCCCTTGGGGAAGGAGCTGGGTAAAAGGAAGCAGTGTGAGTTTTCATGACCCAACTGTCCTCAGCTTTTACATCTGGACCAAGTGCCTGGACTCTTCATAAATAAACAACTACATTTGAAAAATAAATCACAAGCTTTTATATCCTCAACACCACAGAGCGCCAAGCCTGAAGCCATGGGGCTGAGCCACCCCATGAGAAGGGCACACGCCAGCCAGGCCCACAAGGCCACCCCTGGTCCTGCTGCCATGGAGACTACAAAGAGGTCACAGGCTTCTTGGATGCTCAAGGAGCTCTCCCATTCCACATCAGTGAGGCCTGGAGCTGGGAAACTGCACGGCGTCCTTCAAAGACGCAATGCCCACTGGCCCTGCGGCTCGCCACGTGTCCCCCCTTCCAGGCCACGGGGCTGGGCTTTCGAGGTACTCAACAAGGCATCTGCCTCATTCTGAGTCTGAACTCTCACTTGACTTGGAAGACTTCTGCTTCCGCTTCTTCTTCTTTTTCTTTTCCTTCTTCTTTTTCTTGTGCTTCTCCTTCTTCCTCTTCTTCTTGTGCTTCTCTCTGCACTCTGAGGATCCAGAGCTGCTCCCGTCGTCGTCTGAGGTGGAGTCGGCCAGGAGCTGTTTCAGTTGCTGGATCCTAAGCGTGTAAGATCAGGCAGAGGACCTGAGTTTCAGCTCAAGACAGTTTTCTCAAATAAATAAGTACTAAGCAGGTATTGTAATGACCTCGCTAAACACAGCACTGGTTTTCACTAATACTAATACTTCTGCGTGTTCCCAGAGCCTCTACATCACTGACTTCTAGCAGATGCAGACTGAGGCCTTCACTACCCAAGCTCACAGTTATCTCCCTGCTGAAGAGCTGCAATTCCGAGCAAACATTGTGACACAAGTCCTGGTTTGTTACATCCACTTAATCACACCGAAGAATACATTTTAACAGAAAACTCCTATAACCCCAGCTCCTGGAAGGCAGCTGAGGTAGGAGGAACCCTTGAACCCATGAGTTCCAGACCAACCTTGGCAACATAGCTGACCTTGTCTCAAAAAAATCAGGGCTGGGGAAGTGGCTCAGTGGCAGAGAGCTTGCCTAGCACACAGAGGCCCTACTAGCAACACAAAAAAGTTCAGAGTCCTGATGATACTGGAGAAGATAAACTAACTCACCTGAAGGAGTAAACTGTACACTGCAAGTAGATGCCAAACAATGGTGGCCAATGCAAACTCCGAGGGCACCAGTAATACCCGGCCATGCCCGCCCCTGGACCCGACCCCGTGGAGGACACTGGCTGTGTGTCCCTGCTCTGGCTACCCCAGCACTCACAGCTCCAGCCCGTGGTTCCAAACTACTCCCTTACGTCAGAATGTTTGTTCCAAACCCTACAGTGCAAGTCTAAGCGGGTATTACCACCTTCAGGACCTCACCTCACGTCCTTCTCGTGCCTTTTATTCTCTCGAATGATGTCATACATGGGATCTTCATGTGCCTTTAGGGTCAGACAAGGGTATAGTTTGGTTAGGTTTCACAGATTGCTAGTTAAGTAAGAAATGCATGTCACCAAAACAAATGGGTCTTTTTTATTGCTTGATGTAACTTTATGTTTAACATGCTCTACTCATTTTCTTAAGAGTCCCATCAACTCATTAAGGCTACAAAAAGCATTTTCCAGCTAGACAAATTCAGGGATTAAGTAAATATTCTTCCTGAGGAAATAACTGCATAAGCAGTGGCAGGGCGCTGGAGTAAGACAGCAGTCAAGTTGAGGATTACTGAGGACATTCCCTCTGGTCTGTGTGGAGAGAGGATCAAGAGATAATATTAAGTGAAGCAAATGAGTTGAGTTGCAGTGTGATATGTAAGACTGACTCATCCATATGTTCATGTTACATATACTTACATCCAAGTAAGTCTGAGAATACGCACACCGCCCTACCTGACCCCACTCCGGGGAGGGAGGTGGAGTGGGCCTAGTGGTGAAAACCCTACTGTGAGGTTCCCATTTTCTTTAATAAGACAAATGTGTTATGACTTAAAAGTGGCTTTTTATGAAGGGGAAATGGCAAGTATCTAAAGTACCTTTTTAAAAAGTACATGTTTTTTAAGGGCCAGGGGTTTAGCTCAGTAGTTCCGCTGCCTGTCTCACAAGGACCTGCTTCGATCCCCAGTACCCCCCCAAAAAAAGTACATTTTTTTTGGTAGAAATTTTAGGCATCACCAAAATATTAAAAATTTTAAAATCTAATATTTTTCCACCACGATAATTATTATTAACATTTAGAATATGGTAGGGCATGGTGATGCATGCCTATAATCCCACCACTCAGGAGTCTGAGGCAGGAGGATTGCCATGATCCTAGGCCATATAGTGAGCTCAAGGCCAGCCTGAACTGCACAGTAAGACCTTGTCTCAAAAAACAAAAAACCATTTCATGTATTTCCCCTAATCACTGTTCATACTTTATGAAAAATATAATTCATACTGCTTTTCCCTTTATGAACATTTTCCCATAACATTACACATTCTTCTAAAACAATCTCTAAAATCTAAAAACTTTCCAAATTACAGTATGTTGTTATGCTAAAATGTTGTTTCTTGTACTCACTTCAGCAGCACATATACTAAAATATTGTTTCTTATATTACTTTATCTTTTCTTAATCAAGTCAATATATAATTGTTAAAGTTAGGCCTTTAATAGTTTTTTATGTATGGCTTTATATCCATATGGCAAAATTTGTAGTAGTTAGATCACCAACTTAAAAATTGATTCTGCTGGGCCAGGGATTTAGCTTAGTGGTTCCTCTGCCTGCCTTGCAAGTGCAAGGGCCTGAGTTCAATCGCTGGTACTCCGCAAAAAAAAAAAAAAATTATGTTAAGGTTTTTGAGATTTATCAACAATAGATATTTAATACCATCTGTGAAAACTAACATTTCACCTTCATTCTGCTAGGTCCAGAATTTTTATTTTCAGGTTAAAATGAAAACACAAAATTTGAAAAGTCTTAAAAGTTTGAAGTCTGTAGACTCATTGTGACATATGCTGAAAACCTGGGACGGTCACTGCGAAGCACAGGCCCCAGGGCAGAAGTGGGCACTGAGCTGTGTTCTCCAGGAGGGACTCTGAAGGTAAGAAGGCAACAGGTTCGCCCCCATCAACAGGAAGCACACACACAGTTCTCCCTAACACTGGGGGATGCCGATCTCTAGATAAAAGTGAGAAAGGAAGCCCCTGATTTTAATTATGAAACAAGACTGTTTATTAATAAATAAGATCACAATGACTGCTGTAGGAGAAGCATCACCGTTCCGAGGTATACGCAAAAAGTTCAATCTGCAGTTTCCTGTTAGAGCTGACACACAAATGCATCACAGTGTGGAAGTTCACATCACACAAGAGTCTTTGGCAAATGCTGATTTTATTTCCCCCAGTAGCGGGGATCGAACTCAGGACCTTGCACTTGCCAGGCAGGCTCCATGTCATACCGCTGAGCTCCACCCCTGGCCCCTGCCAAGTCTTCGGGAGCAGAGAGCATACTTGTAGGGTGCCTGCTCACCCACTCTGAGAAATGTGAACTGGCACTTTGAGTTTACTTACCACTCTGAACTGTTCTAACTTCTGGTTGCCTTTGATAAAGAAAGGGCATTCTTTGTCACCTGTCCGGTGACCATATCGTTTGCAACGCCAACCTAAAAACAAAAAGAGAAACGTTTCTGTAAAGTAAGAGTTTCACCTGAGAGAACATTTCAGTAGATTATATTAATGTTTTTCTTCATTAGACAGCAACTATAAAGCCAAATGCAACCAGTGGACAGGTTCCCTAATCATCCCTGACTACTGAAGTTTGAGAAATATTTCAACATCCCACATAGATGAAACAATTAAATGTAAAAGAATCACAAAAGGTTAATTTGGTTTTTTTTCCGGTACTGGGAATCATTCGAACTCAGGACCTTGTACTTGTCAGGCAGGCGCAGTGCCACTGAGCTCCATCCCTGACCCAAGGTCAATTTGTTTTTGTATGTCTTACTGTATTTTTGAGAGAAAATCTCTTTCACTCATCAAGTGGCTGATTCTCATTTATAAATCTGGGAACAAGAACAAATAGCTGCTTCCTTCTTGGGTTGAATCTACTGTACAAATCCCTCAGCTGCAAGTAAACAAAATCACCAGTTCCCTCACGTCAATGCCATCAGAATGCTACTGCAAGCTGACCTGCAGAACAGGGAAACTGCCTGTCTGCAGCGGTTTAGGGATTAGGAATGACACAGCCCTGATGAGGGAGTATACAAACACATCTCAAGGCCACATGGAGAAACGACTCCCCCAAGGAACATCAGGCATTGAGCTCCAGGGAAAAGAACAAGGAATGCAGACTTCTGTCACCTGTGCTCACCCTTCCAGTCCCATGTGGACACAAAGCAAATCAGAACAGTGAGCTAAGTCTGGTCTTGGGTACTGATCACCATCAAGAAGCAAGGAGAGACTGCAGGTAAAATCAACCCATGTGGTTTGTCCTGGCAACTACAGAAAACTGGTAATGTTTTCTGAGAGAGAGACAGCTTGGCAGGGTGGCACAGTCCTGTAATCCCAGCTACTCAGGAGGCTGAGGCAGGAGAAGCACAAGTTGAAGACCAGCCCAGGCAACTAAAAAGAACTCTGTCTCAAAGTAAAATAAAATAAAAAATGGCTGGGGATAGAGCTGAGTGGTGAAGTGCTGGCCTAACATGTGAAGCCCTGAGCTCAATCACCAGTGGTGCAAAATGGAGAATTTTCCCGTTTTCTGGCGGGTAGATGCAGGAATTACTGAGAAGAGGTTTGAAGAAGGACACATTCCCATAAACTGGCATCCGTCTCTGTGGTAAAGCAGAGTGGATGTGAGGAGCTCGGGACACTGGTGCAGATGTTTAAGGGAAGCTGTTTCTGTTCCAAATCATCTTCCGGGTGAAGGCCACAGCAGTGACACTGCCAGGTATCTCTAGGCAAATTTTCAGGGCCCACAGGAACACAGATAAATAACTGGGTCTAAACAGAGGTACAAGGGGCTGAGTGGTTGCATGCTTGCCTGTGTGTGGCACTGAGGCACCATGAAAAATAAAACAATAATAAAAAAATGCACTGGCTGCACAAGGTCCTGGGCTTGATTCCCAGCGCCACCAAAGATAAAGATGCACTGGTGGTTTGTAGCTGCGTCAAAGTTTCAGAATCAGTTTTTCAGTTAGGGCCCGAGTTCCTGAACTCAATGCAAGCCTGTGTGTGTTTGTGTCTGGGAGGGACCAGAGTTCAATCATGCTCATGTCATGTGGTGGCTGGCAGGAAGAAAGAGCAGGGAAGGCTGTTTAGTGTCCACCTTGGAACTCGACCACGTGAACACACTGCCCGGGGTCCCCCAGGCCTTGAAAGGACCAAGTTAGGGAGACACAGCTTAAGCCTCATTAACTTCCGATGAGAACGAACCATGAGGCCTGGGATGCAGCTCAGCGAGAAGACATTTGCCCAGCACGGACCAAGCCTTATGTGAAATAGTTAACTACATCTCCACAGCAAACAGTGCTGGGACTGAAGGCAGGGCCTTCACACTGATCACCCCTATCTTCTTCTGTAGTTTTTGAGACAAGGTCCTGCTAAGTTCCCACACTGCCCAAGCAGGCTGGGCTTAAATTTACCATCCTCCTGCCTCACCCTCCCAGATCATTGGGACTACAGGTGAAAAGTTTTAAAAGAAAAAATTATAGATCTCTAGGTGATGGCAGGAGCCCATCTGCTTTCATCTCCTTCCATGGATTCCACAGAAATGAGGATTCATTTAAAAAGGAATATATCAGGGCCGGGCATGATGGTACACACCTATTATTCCAGCTACTAGGGAGGCTGAGGCAGGAGGACCCAAGCTTTAAGCCAGCTTGGGAAATTTTGTAAGATCTTATCCTCAAAATAAAACATAAAAGGGCTAGGGTGGTGCATGCCTGGATTAGATCCCCGGGACTACAAAACCTTTCAGTCCTCCTGCCATGGCCTCCCAAACAGCTGCGGTTACAAGTGTGCACCACCATGCCCAGCCCCAAGGCCACTGCAAAGCAAAGTGCAGAGGAAGCATTTTGCCAGAAGAGAATGCAGGAACCGAGATGCAGGAACACAGGTGGCGAAACTTCAGGGGGACAAGTGTCTCCATCCCTCAGGCTGCCATCCAGAAAGCCACCACCAGGCTTACTGCTGGACACTACTCCCAGTTCTGAGGTTAGACTTCCGAGATCAGAGGCCAGCAGGGCAGCCCAGTGATTCAGGGTTTCTTTCCAGCATGCAGACCACTCTCCTCTCCCCCATCTCCTCATGGAAGAGAGGAAGGGCAGAGGTTGGGGCTGACAAGAAGAAAAGGGAGATAATGACTTTCCTGGGACTTTTTTTTTTTTGGTATTGGGCATCGAACTCGGGGCCTTGTGCTTGCCTTGTGCTTGCGAGGCAGGTGGAGAAACGACTGGGCTAAATCCCCAGCCCAGGGACTCTTTTTTTAAAGGCCACTAATACCTTCTTGACAGCCTCCTTCTCGTGACCTCAGCCAACCCCAGTGACCTCTCCCAGGCCTCAAATATCAGAAGGTCAGGGAGGCTTCAGTACAGAAATCTGACAGCTGGGAATTCACTCTGGAGTAGGTGACACAGACAGGTCCCTGGGCAGCAAGCCCAATGATGAAACTGACAGAACACCTCAAGAGTCACAACCAAAAAGGTCTAAAGATTCAAGGCTGGGAACAATTTGATGTTGAATAAACAACCAATACATGAAAACCAAACATAACAATACAACTAAACTCAAACCATAACAAAAAAGAAGACAGGAGTTAATGTGGGGATGGGGACACAGGGTGGAAGCAAAAGTGATCTGTTTACACTGACTTACCTCTGAATGCCACACCATAGACACCAGAGACTAGGACATAGCCACGGGGAACGGGACTGGGAAGGGGACTTGTCACAAGGGCGGGCAAGAATGAGTCTCATCTGCATCGAATGACATCAGGAAATGCCGCCTCACATGCTTGGAGGTGGACTCCCCCGGCAAGAGACTACACAGGGCGCTGCACTCCTCAGTGGGTCCACCAGCTCCTGTGTGGCAGAGGGGCCTGCCTGGCACGGGCTGGGGGCAAGTGACTAACCGAAAGGGCGCACTCCGTCCCTTGTCCTCCCTTCTCTCGATCTGCCTCCTCGTCAGTGCAGGGTGAGCAGCTGTCCTCTGCCAGGCCCTGCTGCCATGCTGCCTGTCATGGAGCCAGCCAACTATGGGCTGAACCCACTGAAACTGTGAGCCCAAACACACTGAGCTGCACAATAGCATGTTTTATCTCAGGGACAAAAGCGTGACTAATGCAGAGACACACCCTGTAACCTCAGCTACCTGGGAAGCTGAGGCAGGAGGATTCCAAGTTTATGGGTTCAATCTCCAGTAAAGTAAAAAAAGGAGGGAGAGAGAAAGGTAGGAAGGGTGAGAGAGAAGGAGAAAAAGACAGAAAAGAAAATAAAGGAAATCAAGTATAAACCTTAAAAAAAAAAAAAAAAAAAGCACAATAAAAGCTTTTTTGGTACTGGGAATTGAACTTAGGACCTTCTCACTGAGCTACTTAACGTCCCCAACTCTTTTTTTTTTTTTTTTAATTTTGAGACAGGGTTTCATTAAGTTGCCCAAGCAAGATTTGAACTTCTCCCCACAAAGAATGGCTGCTATCAAGAAATCACACAATAACAAATGTTGGCGGGGTTGTGGGGAGAAGGGAACCCTTCTCCATTGTTGGTGGGAGTGCAGACTGGTGCAACCACTATGGAAATCAATATGGAGAAACCTGAAAGAGCTTGGACTGGAGGTTCCATTTGACCCAGCCATCCCTCTGCTGGGTATCTTTCCAAAAGAACTAAAAGAATCATATCACAGAGAAGTATGCGCACCCATGTTTATAGCGGCACAGTTTGTAATAGCTAAATCTTGGAAACAGCCCATTTGCCCATCCGTTGGAAACTGGATAAAGAAGTTGTGGTTTTTCTATAAAATGGAATATTACTCAGCCATAAAGAGCGAGAGAATAGATTCATTCATAGGAAAATGGATACATATTGAAGATATACACCTAAGTGAAATAAATAAGTCACACATGTGTAAATACCAAATAGTTTCCCTGGTGTGAATACTCTGCAATAATACATTAGATCCTAATAAGATTACTGACATTTAGAAATTGGAAGAAAGGAGCTAAAGGTGTAGGGAAGGTGGGATGGGTAGGGGAAGGGTAAAAAGGGAAAAGAAAAAAATGTGAGATGATGAAAATAAAATGTTTATAGATGGGGAGGGGAGGAGGGGGTGAAGGGAGGGCAGGGGTAAGGGGAAAAAAATGAGAATCAAGACTTGTCATGTAGAGGTACAAGATCCCAACAATGAATGTAACTATACTGTATCCCTA